TAAAAAGACTGAGGAATAAAAAAGAGCAAAAAATCAAACTTTATTGGGTAATATTTTATTGATTCCAAACAGGATCAAGACATCTATTAAAATAACTTGTTAAATGAAAATACATGGAAAATGCTGAATGGTCATCTCAGTCCAAAGTACAAATTACCACACTGCCCCAGTACACTTCAGCTTTTTTTGCAGTATTTTTTTAGTCTGTCTGAGGGGGCRACAGGGGGATCGAAGGAAGGGGGCAAGGGGGATGCTTTGGGCAGGAAGTCCAGAGCTTCTAATATGAGCCCCAAAGTGAGCGCTACTGTCTTCACAATAAACTTTACTTTGTCCCTATCAACACAAGTTAAAATTGGAGTAACCGGTTTCACTAAACATCCATCATTAAAACCTTGCACCTGACTGGTTTTATTCAGAATACATGATGATAAAAAAAAAAATCACATCAGAGAAAGTAGAGAGGAGAGAGGAGAACAGCTGTGAGGACAGCAGGAAGAGACAACTGTGGATAAATACTTTAGGGAAATAAAAATTTTACTTGTTTGTAAATTATATTCTAAAACTGTGGTACTGCACCCTCTGGACAACAAACAGATTTACTGCTTTTGATAACTAAGATTTACCATGTTCAGTATTTAAAACTTTCTTAAACTGTGCCGTCCTCTAGTGACAAAAAAGAGGAACTGCTGCATTTGACTTTCAACCTAAATTTGAGAGCTTGGCCGGTTTAAACTGGTTTTTGTGGGACTTCCTAATACATTTTTATTATTTGAATCTTTATTCTCTCATTTMATTTTACTTTTGTGTGCATTGTCTCTAATACAAATACAAGGGCACTTAGGTAAAATCTGGGTTACTGCCATATTTGACTCTGTAGCTTTTTACTTTTTGATATGAAATCATCCAATGTTTTTTTTAACTGCCTTTTTTATTGTCTTTTTAATATTTCAAGGTAAGGCCAGCTCATTTTACTGTATTTTTAATTTTTTTAATTTTTTAAATTTCTTAAAATGTTTAATTTTCTTGTTATAATCTGTTTTGTTTATTATTATAATACTTTACCAGCTGGATCACTGACAGCATTCTAGATGTGAACACATGCTTAATACAAATAAACTTCAGTCAAGCAAAACATTTGAGTATAAACAGGTGAAATCATTTTATATATTCATATTGACATACTATTTATCCGTCAYAGTTATATTAAGGGGATAAAGGCTGTTGCAAAGTTTAAATGGGTCAAGCATAGTTTAAAAAACTTTATAAGAAAGCAGCTAAGCTTTTTTTAAAGCTTAATTTTTAATTAATTTCTTCACACAAGCCATCACAATGAAAACTAATCTCACAACGATCTTTTTATATATGTTTTAAACTGAAAGACAAAGGTCTCAATAACGAGGATTTCAGGAAACACACTCGTGCAGATTAAAACCTGGGGTCAGACACAAATGATACAGAAAAAACTATTGAGAATGTGTTTTTTATCGTTAGGTTTTAAAGAAAATGTATTGTTTTTTATATTGACAAAGTATGTTTTAATAATAAAGTTCATGTACACTTTTTGCAACTCTGAAAATAAGGAAGTATTGAGAGTAACTAGTAAATGATTTCAATATTAAAAAGTCCAGCTGCTTTCCATTAAATTAGTTTGATTCACAATAATCTGGAAAAGTGAAAACACCCATAGTCCACATATATGAAAACAATAAGGAACATTCTCAAACACATATAACTCTCATGCCTGAATTCTTTAGTTTTCTTTCTTTACAGTCTGACATCTCCAACAACTCTTTCATGTAGACATTTAACACGACCCTAAAAGAAAAATACACCTGCATACGGCCAACAACACCCACAGACGCACAAACATGCACACATGATCTACTGGACATTCAGGGTGCGAGCAGACACTCCGTGGTGCCAGTCTCTCAACTCGTTGTACTTGGGTCCAATCACCAACCGAGTGGTGGTCTTGTTCACTCTGGCATCCAGCGCACAAGAGTAAAAGGAGAGAAGAATGCCAGAAAGGACAAAAAATTTAGACCAAGAAGAAAAGTCAATCTGAAAAGTGAAATCAGATAAGCTGCGCCACAATGAGAGCGAGATGATGCTGAGGGAGCTAGTAGCACAAACAAAGCTGAAGATGAACAAAGCTGAGTGAAAATGGTAATTATCTTCAGACAAAATGCAAGCCTTGATGTATGATCAGTACGGGCTGAATGAGTCAATGTTTAAAGCCAGAGACAAAAACAATGTTAGCACGACTGATCCCAGAAACACACTGATCACATGGAACACTGCAAACCAACAACAGCAACAACAGTCAGCTGATGGATCACCAGAGTTATAAAGTAACTAAGTACGAATACTTTGTTGCTGTACTTAAGTAGAAATTTTGGTTATCTGTACTTTACTTGAGTAATTATTTTTCAGCGTGCTTTTTACTTTTACTCATTACATTTTTACACAATTATCTGTACTTTCTACTCACTACATTTTTTAAAAAGGTAAGAAGTAGAAATTTGTTACTCCTATTTTATTCTGAGTTGTTATTACTTAAAAAAATACTATCCTGATAAATTGTGTCTCCTGKATAGAGTGAATTTAATTGTGGTTGGATGAGAAGTATAAATATATTTCATTCTGACACCTTATTACTTTGTACACAGTCCATCCCAGCTGCACGCCATTAGAAACAAAATTTTTTTTGGAAAGTTAAATGTCATTTAGGAAAATCTTACCACTCACTTTTACTCAGTATTTTTACTTTAAAATACTTAAGTAGATTTTATGTCAGAAATTTACTTTTGATACTTAAGTATAAAGAATATCAGATACTTCAAGACTTTTACTCAAGTAAGTAGTAAGTAAGTTCTTAGAGAAGACTAACTTTTACCAAAGTATTTTTATGATAAGATACTTGTACTTTTACTCGGGTATCACTTTGAGGTACTTTATACAACACTGTGGATCACACATGGCATGAGAACACAATCAAGTTGGAGCCAAGAGATTCAACAACACAACCACAAGTTGTTTAACACATGGCAAAACAAGGCTGTCAGAGACACAAAACAAAAACCAGCGCATACATGAACTATTAGAGTCAGGTCTAAAATCAGTCTTTCATCAGATGAAAACAATCCAAACTGCTCTCAGAGATACTGTCCTGTTGTGGTTTGATGTACAGTATAAAAGTGCAGACAGGTCTGACTCAGTAGATTAAATGTGATTTCTCTTCTAATATTTGGACTCATGCAGCATCACTTTGACAGTCAGAACTGGACCACAAGGACTTGATGCAGGATTTTCTGTTTACAGTAATATGGAAGTGAGCAGTTTGAATGAAAAAATTTGATTTAATATGCAAACAAAAACCATGAAGTTTAAAATGTCACAATCATTCATATGGAGCAAAAAAGGCTTTTTATTAACTTGCACTTACTTTGTCTTCTTGGCTGAGTCAGCTTCCTCATTTTGAACTGAAACAGAAATGCAAAATAAATTAATTTATATTCTCTGGAAAGCGTTGCATCAGTAACCATTTAAATCAGACTTAGTAAATCATGAACAATCCTAAATTTGACGTCTCCAGCGTAGCACAAAACAAGCATGCTGTAATGAAAGACTGAGCTGAGGTGTCGTACCGTTCTCGGTGCCGGTGATCTGAGCCAGAATCTTGAAGGACCTGGACTGGGTGGTGCCGGTGCGTGGACGCCAGTCCTCTGTGTCCTCCATTATGCGCTTTCTGCTGGCATCGGCGTGAGTGGGCACGTGATAAAAATGGATGTCTGTGTCCACAACATGTTTTCTGGGAGCTCTGAGGAAAGGAGGAAGAGAGGGATGTATGGAGTCAGGAAACATCACTTCACATCTACTCACTCAATGACCTTTCACTGAATGTCAATCAGGAATCTAAATGCATACAACACATTATATTTCACTATATGAAACTGAACAAAACTGTTAGGTGACTAATAAAACTAGAACCCACTGTAGACAATAAACCCTGAAAATGTATTTGTCAGAGTAAGGTGTCACAACACAATTAGTTTTATGTGGTGATACCTTGGTGGTTGCTGCAGAGGTTTTCTTGAAAATCAGAAACAAAGAGAATAAGGAAGCAGGAATAAAGATAAAGTAATGAACAGAAAAGATAAAACAACATTTATAATGAGTGCAGTTGTGATAAGACTTACTTAAATACATTTTGAGGTCCACTAACGGAGAGCCAACAGCAGAAGAGAAACAGGAAGAGGGACAGAAAATAATTAATTTGAGAGGAATTAATTAAATTAAATTTAGTTTCCAATCAGTAGCAGCTTTTGATATTCAAAATAAAGTAAAAAGGATTTGTAAAGKACAGCTACTGCGAGCACAACACAACAAAAAAAATGAGTTAAATTTAAACTCGTGAAAAATTATTTCCTTTTTCAACCACATGGTGGTGGTTTTGAATCATGTAAAATTCTGTAAGCGTTGGGCAACACGTCCACTTAAGCCAGTTTTTTAAAATGCCTTACATAATATGATTTACGCAAACATACGATGTAGCTTTGAGAGACTGAGTAACACTCAATATGTTCAGCTTGTGTTTATGCATGAACACTCAGGTCATGTTTGGCAACAGGAGGCTGAGACGCCTGTCACTATCTGGACATCATACAAATCAACTCTTAGGGCAAACACATGCACACACATAAACATGCCTACAGAGTGTTTCCCGAGGCCTCCTGTCAATAAATCACCTATAAATATACTGTCTCTAAGAATTTCACTAAGCTGATCACTCTGATTTATGAGCAACTCTCAACATGTTCCTGTTATAGCAGCACGTGATTTATTGAGATTAATTACTGTGATGCAAATTTACAGCTGTCCCAAAACTGTCCCATATTTAGAAAATTAAGCTGATTAAAAATGGTAGGTTGCCCTGCCTTTTTTTTTTTTTTTTGCACAGTGCATCATAAAACTAAAAAAAATGCTCATGGAATCCATAGCACTTTATTTAATAATAATAGATAGGAAAAACTTTAATATTAAACTGAGATGAATTCATGCATTTGAGAGCACAACTGCAAACAAACACTGAACATGCTGCAGGGACTAACTTTGTGACTGGGACTGATGCTTTAGTCTGAAAAGCAGAGAAACAGTAAAACAAAGATACTGAAAGATATGTTGCTCAGGTAAAACAATAAAAAAAAAAAATAGAAATTGAAATATTTCTTTAACTCCCCTCTGAAACAAACCACACAGGCCAACATGCAGGCAGGATGCAAACATGGATTCACATGCTGCTATTAAGTGACAGTCTCTTTTCTGTAGGCCCATGTTTGTTAACAAGAACAGACACTCTGTACTAAATCATGCAGACTTTGATTAATGGCAATGCTTTTAGCTTAGCCTACCTATTTCTGTAAGTGAAATTTTGTACATGACCTCCCACCCTCCACAAAAAAAGGCTGTGGTACATGTACTAATTTCTCAAATACTGCCAGTTCAAACAGAGAAAAAGGGGGAAAAAACAGCAAGTTATAGAACCAGAAWAGGTAGAGAAAGATCAAAGTTTCATGTTTAAGTAGATTTTTTAAAC